CCACGTTTTTCATTTTCAATTTCATAGATTGTTTATAATGACTTTTGCTAAAATTTCAAAATCAAAAGTTATCAAAACAAATTCTATGGGACTGAGAAGTATTATTTTCTACTTTTTAGTCCATTTATAAAAGCGTTGTATATTAAAAAGTTTTTTTTATATTATTTATTTTCTACTTTTTAGTCCTGTCTGAATAAAATTTTGCAATAGATATTAAAATAATTCAACGATATTAATAGAAAGGTGCACACACCATGCATTTACATAGTATGTACATACAAACGTGCACCAATTAATTTTATTTAAAGAAATGGCGTGTCGTCTATTTCCGCCGATATGCGTGTATAAACCCTCCTCAAAGTCTAGCCAAAAAGCCAGCAACTCACACAACAGGTTCCCCAGAGCAATTCGCTCGAGAAAGTGGTACCCGGTACACGTAATACGCGGCACACAGCACAACAATCCGCCAAAACAGGCAACCCGGCCCAAAATTACCACCGTAGAAGGCAGAAACCCCGAGCGGCAGTGCAGGAGCCCAAGAATTACCCTTAAAACGGCCACAGGAGCTTAAAAAGACCAACTGGTCCCCAACTGGTCCGAAGGTAGTTAGTTTCGGACTAGTCCCAAACTGGTTCCCGGACTGGTCCCCGACTGGTTACCAACTGGTCCCACGAACTAGTTACCAACTGATCCAAAAGTGATTACCAACTGGTCCACCTATACCTCAAGTGGTCCACAAGTCACTTCACTTACAAAGCATTCGATTTAGTTGACAATAGTCAAACTAATTTTATTTAAAGAAACGGCGTGTCGTCTATTTCCGGTGTAGCAAACGTAGTACATAGAGCGACATCTAGATGTCATCTACCTCGCCCTATTCACTATGCTTTTTTATAGAAGCTTTTCAAAGCTTTGCTTTGGTGTCGGAACACAACATTGAAAGTTTCTGGATCCACAACATTGAAAGCTTCTGGAACACAACATTGCAAGTTGATAAAAGCGTTGTAAAAACAACAACCACATTATCAAGTGTAAATAGCAGCGGAATAGCTGCGCTTGATTGTATATAATTTTTATAACGCATTAAATAAACACATATCCCTTAATTTATAAAAAAATTACTTTTCAATTTTAAGCATTTATGTTATTGTGCATTAATCCATAAATCAATATAAATTTTTTGAATATAATTTTTCTAGACTGCACAACATGGATTTCCCCATAAGCCCTCCGCGGTGGCTTATGATCCGGTTTCCAAACTTATGGCCATAGGCACACAAATGGGAGCTATCAAAGTATTCGGCCAACCCGGTGTAGAATTCTACGGGCAACACATGCTAGTCAGCAATTCAGCTGCCGAACTCAACGTACAGCTTTTAGAATGGGTTAACGGCACTGGACGTGTACTCTCGTTGACTGCATCGAATCATTTAACATTATGGGAGCCTGTGGGGGCAACACTAGTTGCTACCAAGACACTGCCTTTTGACGGAAAATTGAAGAAAGTATCATCGCTTTGCTGTTCATTGAATAAAGACATCATATGGATTGGAACTGAAGGGGGAAACATATATCAATTCGATTTAAATTCGTTCTCCATACGTGAACCTGTAATATATCACGATGTTGTCCTTGAACAAGTACCTCCGACATACAAGTTGAACCCAGGTGCTATTGAATCTGTTCGGCAGTTGCCCAAAGAATGCAATAAACTCTTAATTGCATACAATCGTGGTCTCTGTGTGTTATGGGATTTAGAAACATCTTCATTAGTACGCGCTTATATTGCTTCTGGTCATGGACAGAGTGTGGGCCTTTTTGTGAATGCAGCTGGAACCCAATTTACTTGGTATCATGCGGATGGCTCCTATGCCTCTTGGAATTTGACCAACACCGAGGCACCGAAAAACGTCAATTACGTTCCATATGGACCAGACCCCTGCAAAAGTATAACTCGGCTGTATAAGGGCAAACGCGGGTAAGTTCTCAAAGGTCATTTACAGCCCCTACTGAGCCAAAATGTATTTTTCTGTATAGAACTACATACATATCAGCAACAATAACACTGTACAGCACTCGGCTGGTTATTGGACCAAACCAACTTTTTTAAAGAGATTGAGTTATAAGAAAAAAAAGTTAGTTCCCCGTTTTTCGAAGTTAGCCTCCGAGATTGAGATATGGACCTTCGAAGTTCAAAATTGGACCTTTGGTAAAAAATTATTTTTAATTATTGCATGTAAAAAGGAAAAAAGTAAAAATACAGACGTGGTCCGCCTTTTGCTCTTATTTATATCGTATAGAAATTTTTTTGTGAAAACTAATATTACAGGTGCTATAACGGGTCATAGGTCAGTTCTTCGAAAAATGAAAAACTTAGTATTTCAGACAATTTGGAACTGCTTTTTAAAAGATTCATATCGTTGTAAAGGTAATTTAACCCCCTTTATTCATATCAGGCTTAATCGCCTTTACAACGATACTAACCTTTTAAAAATCGGTTAGTAATTTTTTTTTTTAAAATACTTTTTTTATAAAAAAAGGTTTTTTTTTTTAAATGTTTTTTTTCTAAAATTTTTATCAACGAAGTATACAAATATGCATATCAAAAGAAGCGGATTTAGTCGCCTTTACAACGATACCAATTTTTTACTAATCGGCTCGTAATTTTTGCGTTTAAAATATTTTTTTTATAAAAAAAGGTATTTTTTCTCTTAAATATGCTTTTTGTAAAATTTTTATATACGAAGTATACAAATATGCATATCGAAGGAAAGCGGATTTAATCACCTTTACAACGATATAAATTTTTTAAAAATCTGTTCAAAATTGTTTGAAATATAAGGAAATTAATTTTTCGAAGACCTGAACTTTGACCCCTTATAGCACCTGTAATAGAGCAAAAGGAGGACTACGCCTATATTTTTAGGTTTTTAGTTATTTACATGCAATAATTTAATATAATTTTTTACCAAAGGTCCTATTTCGAACTTCGAAGGCCCATATCTCGATTTCGGAGGCTAACTTCGAAAAACGGAGAAATCACTTTTTTTGCCTATGACTCAATCTCTTAAAAAAATTGGTGATTTTGCCGTACAGTGTAATAATTACAACAGGTTATACATTTCGAGCTTGGTGAATCTACGACACAGCTATCGTAGATTTACCAAGCTCGTTTTCATGCAAGAAAATCTTTTTCAGTGATAAGGTCCATTTCAAGTTCGGCGGCTGTGTGAATAAGCAAACTTTTATCAATCTGTGGTAATGAGCAACCGCAAGTGACCGCTGCACAGTGGTTGCATTTCTATGGGGAGAGCGGCAAAAAATACTTTTAATGGACATATCGGGATAAAATTTTTACCCTAAGGTCTGTTAAGAGTTAAAACTGTAATATGTAAAAGTGGGCGGGGTTGGACACGCCCACATACAGTCATGTGAAAAATAATAGGGACACGACATTGCGACCATGTTCGGCAATTTTTGTTTTTTTTTTTGTTTGTTTTTTATATAAAAATTTTAATTTTTTTTTATAAAAATACAACTCACTATCTAACAAAAAACCACATAAGTCCAAATTTCAAACTTTGAAAAAAAAAGTTGAAAAATTCAACAAATTTTTAAAACAACACAAACCTTCTTGATAAGAACTGTTAGAAAAAATCTGGGTGTGCAGTTTTATAGCCCATTAAATTCTAGCTGAAGAAATCGCAAGTTTGAAGTGGCTAAAAATTTGCGTTGATTGTTGATAATTGTTTTTTTTTTCCGTATGGTGTTACTATTTGTCAAACATTGTCAAACATACTTTGAATGGTAGAAAATGCGTGACATCGTCAGGAAAAAAATTATCAAAAATCAAAGCGATTTCTTAGCCACTTAAAACTTGCACTTTCTTGAGCTAGAATTCAGTGGGCTATAAAACTGCATACATAACTTTTTCCTAAAAGTTCTTATTTAAAAAGTTTGGTGTTATTTTAAAATTTTGTTGAATTTTTCTATTTTTTTACAAAGTAGGAAATTTGGTTTTTGTTAGATAGTGAGTTGTATTTTTATAAAAAAAAAAAATTAAACAAACAACCAAAAAATAGCCGAAACTGGCCACAATGTCGTGTCGCTATTATTTTTCACATGACTGTATGTGGGCGTGTCCAACCCCGCCCACTTTTACATATTACAGTTTTTACTCTTAACAGACCTTAGAGTAAAAATTTTATCCCGATATGTTCGCCGACGCTTAGTCTTTTTGAAGACTCAACAAAATCTATTTTCGGGCGCCACGATTTGAATTGGTGGAAACTGTTGGTTGACATTTTAATGAAATGATTTCTTTCATTTCGAGCCAATTATAATGATTTTTCAAAACTACTGATTTTTGGCGTTTGGATCTTTGCCAAAACAATGCAAATTTTTTACAAACGTAATTAATACATTTTTGCAACTCATACCGATCCGGCTCAAAACCGTCATATTCAATATCTTTCTCTATTGCATCCAGCAAATTTGAACTTTTTTGGAATGCGTACCGAAATTTTCACGCCAAATCTCAAAAACATGCAATCGAGAAAATTCGCAGTGTTAACTTGTGCCTAGAAACATTTGATTTAAAAAATTAGGTAAATCAAAAAATAAACATGAAAAAAAACTGTAGGAAATAAAGAGCTTGGATTAGGTTATGGAATACTACGCGAGCCTCTGCAGGTCAATGCATCTACACTGAACACTTTTATAATCTCAAAATATTAACAAACAATATGTAAATAAAAATATTGAGGGCCGATGGGGGAAACACACTTAAAAAATTGCCTAAATACTTGAAAGATGAACCAAGAAACACACAAAATCCTACTTTTCTAAAACAACGATTTGCATAGAACGCAACACGAATTATNTTATGGAATACTACGCGAGCCTCTGCAGGTCAATGCATCTACACTGAACACTTTTATAATCTCAAAATATTAACAAATAATATGTAAATAACAATATTGAGGGCCGATAGGGGAAACACACTTAAAACATTGCCTAAATACTTGAAAGATGAACCAAGAAACACACAAAATCCTACTTTTCTAAAACAACGATTTGCATAGAACACAACACGAATTATGTAAAAGTTTAATTGTAGAAATAATGCCTTTATCTACAATATCCATTGCATATAATTATAACTCACTTGGCTTTTCACAATATTTTAATTACGTTAAATTCAATTCAATTTTCAGCGTGCTGACGCTGTACAAATAAAATGAACAATTGATGACACTTTTGTTGCTTTTTTCAGAAACAACCGTTAGAATGAAAACAAAATCAGACAACAGCATGAGTTTACTCACTTCCATCTAAATAGTATGAACTCATTGCTGTNAGTGTAAAAATTTTTACATACATTTTTTTAATTATGGCCTATGGCAGCAACCACTGTGTGCTGTGAGAATGGCGAAGGAGTCCCCAAAACCGTCAATTCTTTGCGCCACGCCGCCATAATAAAAGACATATTTTGGCCAAAAAATAGCTCCTTCTTCTAAAGTGTTAATTTCCTGAATGCCTTACAGTGACGTTGGGAATGTTTAATGCCACAAAATATCTAATTCCAGAAAACCAAGTTTTTTCAATTTCAATCTGTTTCAAATTTTCAATAACTTACTTATCTCCAACTTAACTCTTGAACACTAAAAAAAAAAAACGTATCCAATAGGTTACGGGTATACGAACGTCACTTTCGAATGAATTTTTAAATAAATCTTCATATCAAAACTGCAAAATCGTTTAACGATACTATCGATAGTTTTGCAGCTCTAATAGTCCCTTTATCTGTGAGAAAGTCAAATTTCGAAAATACCATTATGAACACATTTCTTTAACCAACTTCCCGTTGAGCAAGAGACTTGAAACTTCAAACTTAGCTAAATGCAATGCATTGCGAAAGATGAATTAATCCTCTAGGTGGCGCAGGAGTCAAAATATTTGAAAACCCCGTATTTATAGTCCGATTGAGTTCGTATTTAGAATTTATTTTACTTTCATGGAAAGAAGTAAATCCACAAAAAATTTAGCCGGTAGCTGGCGAGGGGTCTATATATTTCGAAAACCTACATGTATGGTCCGATTTAGTGTATATATATTTTAGGGTGATCCAAAATAAATAACCTAACTGTGTTGTATTGTGCTGTATTGTGTTGGGTTGTGTTGTGTTGTGCTGTATTCTGTTGTATTGTGCTGTATTGTGTTGTGTTGTGATGTATTGTGTTGTGTTGTATTGTGTTGTGTTGTATTGTGTTGTGTTGTATTGTGTTTTGTTGTATTGTGTTGTGTTGTATTGTGTTGTGTTGTGTTGTGTTGTGTTGTGTTGTGTTGTGTTGTGTTGTGTTGTGTTGTGTTGTGTTGTGTTGTGTTGTGTTGTGTTGTGTTGTGTTGTGTTGTGTTGTGTTGTGTTGTGTTGTGTTGTGTTGTGTTGTGTTGTGTTGTGTTGTGTTGTGTTGTGTTGTGTTGTGTTGTGTTGTGTTGTGTGTTATGTTATGTTATTTTGTATATCCCTCAATTCACTTCAATTAATTCCACTCGGCTCAGCTCAGCCCACCTCAACACACCTTAATTTTTGAGGTTGAATTTCCACCGCTCGGCGAACACTAGTTAATATAATTTAGTTTATTGCAATTGGGTAATTGCACTACTTACAACAGAAATTGTTTTTGTCAATTTTATTGTGGCCTATTAACATTTTATTTTAATATTTTTATCGAGCTTTGTACCACGATTTTGTTTATTACGAAAAATGGAAAACGCAACAAAGTCAAAGCGGTAGAAGTTATAGTAGCTATTCTTTTTCTAGACTTCAGCAGTGATCGAACCCGCATAATCTATGTGCAAAGTCAGAAGTGGTAGCCACTGAGCTATGCACACTAGAGTGGTAAAAATTTTTTTTTTGGAAAGTTATAAACGCTACGTCAAATTATTGTTATTTGTGATAAAAAAAGAGAAACGTGT